CCCCTGCTTTCTTTTGGAAGAAGCTGAATCAGTCAAGTTCAAAAGAAGTTTTGCCTTAATGAGCATTACTACATACCTCAAGTGCTCACAGAGTTAACCAAAGATACCAAGTTTGGATGAAGGGACATAGCCTTTCAAATATAATCTCTACAAGGTCTTTTTTTCTAACAGTAAAGAAAACCTTTAAATCCTTAAAAATCATTCACAATGCTTACCATAGATATGACAAACATGCTCGACTTTCCCAGGCTTTATTGCTCATATTACAAAAGGCTTTAAGAATTAAAACCAACTAGAAGAGCAGATTCTTGGATCCCTTTCCATGGTCTCTCAGGCATACATTCATTGAGTGAAATGGTACTCACACCATATACATTGTAACTTCTTTTTCTTTTTGACAAGTACTATAGTAGGATGATCACAATTCATCTATTAACCATGTGACCTCATACAAGTTATTCAACCTATCTGAGCCAATTTCCTCCTTTTTACAAAAAGGAATAGTATCTACATTATAGAGTTAATCATGTGGATTAATTATAATAAGTAATTAAGTAAGTTAATTATTTAAACTTAATATTTACTTTATATTTAATAAAGTCTGGCAGATAGAGAGTACACAAATGGCACCTATAATGATAATAAAATTATGGCCATGAGTTTAGGCTCTGAAGGAAAAACAGCTTACTCTTGGATTAAAGCTGCTAAGGTAAAAGAGAGCTAGATTTTTTTGGCCTGATTTGGCCAAATACCTGAGAGAGCATGTATTAAATACCTGAGAGAGCATATATTAAAGCAGGGTAGTTATATGATGCCTGTTTATAAGTCAGTGGCTCCCAAATGCCAGTTATTTGATTGGCTGCATCAAATTCTTTAATAGAGCTTTATCAAAATATAAATGCTCAGATGCCACTAGCGAAAGTATTAATTCAGAAGATCTGGGGTAGTGCCAAATCATCTGTATTTTCATAGGTACTTGGGGATTCTTCTGATGAGAGCAACCAGGTTTGAAAGCCACTATATATGCTACATTGGTCTTTTACTTTTAAGCCCAGGGGAACATGTAATTAGTGATCTTTTTAAACACTTTTTCCATTTTTCTATGAAATTGGATAATGAATGTGGGCAGAACACCTTTAAGAACATACTCTTTGGGCCCCTTGCATACTTTTCCAAGCATGGACCTATAACAGAAATCCAGATTCTATTAGGCATCACCAATAGAAGAAAACATTTCATATGCCAGCGCAAACTAAGCTGTACAAATTAAACTATGCTTTGAAGAATTTTCAAAT